ATATATTTTAATGATCCACCTACGCCGAATGGGCAAATAATTAAACAAAAATGGTTGGTATTTTGAATAAATCTTTGTGCAGTTTAATTACCTCGTAATTTAACAGCATCCTTACTCATCTAAAAATATTAACTTTTAAAGAACATTTATCATATTTATATCTATTTATTCAAGAAAAACTTACCAACGCATTATCTGATAGAACAAATGGAAAACTTTGACTATCTCTAATAATAAAATTCAAAATAGAACTAACTAATTAACTAAATAGAACTAACAAAGAATTAAACAAAAATAATGGAACAATAAAACTATATTAGCTAAAATAAACAACGCGAATAATACAAATATTTACTACAATAATATGTTCAATCGTAACAACTCAAATATTATATTTTAAATATACAGGGAAAATGTTATGGGTTTAGTATACACTTCCACTATTTGGAATAATTCTTCTTCTTTTAAAGGAAGAAGTCTGCAATAGTAGTATATTTGAGCTATTAATACTGAGAAGTAGGAATTTTTGTGTTGTATGTTTCCGACAATGAATCTGTCAAAATATGCCCGAGCTAAGCGAATGGAGAATAGACATGATTTTGGTTCAATCCACGGCATATCAACGAAATGTGTAGATCTCATTGCTCAAACTTTTCGTGATAGAGATATTGCAGCGCCACCCAGTAACAAAGGAAAGCATACAAATCGACTAAACCGAAAATTTAACGAAACACTCAAAAATGTGAACATGCACATCCAGAGCTTTCCAAGGCGTAAATCGCATTATAATAGAAATAAATCCCGTCGATTCTATTTATCTCCATATCTAAATATAAAGAAGATGCATCAACTCTATTTGAAACTTTACGAACCAGAAAGTGTTAGCAATCCTAAATATAAACCCAAAGTTGTGATGTCTTAGATAACAAACTCAAAGATAAATGTGATGCCTTAGAAAACCACATTGTACAAGCATAGCGACGAAGTGGAGGTTCTGACCTTTGACTTCCAACAATACCTTCCACTTCCAAAAATTCCTGCTGGGGAAGCTTTCTACAAGCGCCAGTTGTGGACATACAACTTCTGCGTCCATTCTGATAAGACAAATCAAGGACACTTTTATATGTATGATGAAACTACAGCTCGAAAGTCACCAAACGAGATAGTGCCATTTTTGTACCACAATATAAACAATATTCTTCCTAAAAATGTCATAGTTTTATACCTTTTCTCCGATAATTCTGCTGCACAAAACAAAAATTCAGTAATGATTCAGTTTCTGTATTTGGTGAGAACTAGATGTATTGACAAGATAGAGCACCGCTTTCCTGAGCCAGAATATAGCTTTCTTCCCTGTCATCGCTGCTTTGGAGTTATTGAGAAGTTTTTAAGGAAGAAGGACTATGCTGATTTTGTTAAACAATCATCCAAACAGTTTATTTCCATTCTGGTAAAACAGAATATGATCCTGAACTTTAGTGGTCACTATGAAGGACATTTTAAAAAAGTTATCTTAGATGCAGAAAACCAAAGATTCCAGATTTACAAATACCGAATTTTCCACTACAGCAATAAACATTTAGATGGTATTAAAGTCAGTATATCTACTGGCTTTCCGAGTGTTCAGTTATTCCAAATCTTGAGAAACCTTGACAGCGACATCTCACGTTTCTGCTGATATTCCTGTCTATTTCAATCCTATACCTGTCAAAAAAGCCAAATATGCAGATGTAATGCAGTTGGCAACACGATTGGTTCCTATAGACCAAATGGCTTTTTACGCCCATGCAGCCATGGCAGAGAGCCAGAAAACCGAATCATCTGGAACGGATGATTACGACCAGGTAGATGAATGAAGGATGTGTAAACCCGTGTGTTTAATGTTTTATTTTTTTTGAATGCTATTTTTTTGACACCAACCTATTCCTTTTTACAGATTCTTTCGTATTTGTGTAGTAGGCAAACCATAGTCGTTTGCTTGTTGTAAACGAATACAAGAGTTTTTGTTGAGAATTTGCTTTTTTTCTAAAAAAGTTTGGTAAACAAGCATTATTTCACGTGTTTGATGCAAGAAAGATGCACATTTTTTCTTTTTTTTTTTTTAATTATCTACTTGAAAATAGTCTTAAGTATTGACTAAATCTGTTTGTCATCGATTGATATTATGTCTTTCGGGTTAAAATAAAAACTTTTATTAAAAAACAGTTTTTTCAATTTCCCAATTACCAAATATGGAGCTGCTTCCTTCTTACAGCCAACTTCTCAATTCGTGATTTACAGTTCGAATTACTCGAACACCCACTTTATTTACCAGATCTCACTTTGCCCGACTTTCATAGTTTTCTTCAACTAGAAAAATCTCTAAAAGGTCATAAATTTTTTCCAACGAAGCTATATAACCTGTGGATGGTTTTACAACATGGTTGTTATGAATTTGTTTAATTAAAATACATTCAGATTAAAATTGTTTAAATCCATTTGCGTTCTCAAAAAACATATAGTCACTTGAAAAACCTATAGTGTATTGAAGAATACTATCAGAAGATCAGGCCACACTCATTTTGTTATAAATAAGGTATACTCGTTTTCATCGTTCTTGGCGTGTGCCTGAAATAAGCTACTACGGAATTTTTAATATTCGTCTCTCTCTGATACACATATGCGTTATTCAATTGTGCGAGTCACGTTCGTCATGGTAAAGTGCGATGAGAAGGGAATGAAGAGACCACTCACGTCTCCCAGTATTGTAGCAATAACACCGATGCGTTTGGCCGATACGGTGTCGGTGATAAGTTTGGCCTCTTTACGAATGCAGATAGCTGGCAGTGACGTGTTTTTTTTAACATGTTACCCTGATCTGTGCAGGTTTGAAGTAGCTGATGAAATAGTTTTTATAAGTTAACAGTTTTTAATTAATTAATAGTTTGAGCTCTTACTGTGTGGAAATCCATTACATAAAATAATACTCTCGACACCTTAAAAATTCCGGTTTATTTTAAATTAACTCTCTCTCTTCCGATACCCATTGCAATAATGATTTGTGGCATTGTTCCTGAATGAGCTGGCTAATAGGTTTATAATTGTAGCAATTACCATTGATATTTTATGTTGTTTTAGTCGATTTTAGTCAGTCATTGTTGGAATTTGTTCCGAACAGTTTTACTTATTATTTTTTGTTGTGAATAATTAATTGTTCTATTTAATAAAAAAAATGCCGGGAAAACGATAACAGGAGAAATGCGACAATGTGTAGTTCATTTATTGGAGTATTTTAAAAAAGAAAAAGAAAACAACGGACCTTTGCTTTCGTTATCATCGGTACATGAACGAGTAGCGGACGCTTTGAAAATCAGTCTTCGCACAGTGACAAGAATAAAGAGTGAATACAAGACAGGGGCAGCTCTTACTACACCAGGAGAGTCACGTAATGTACAAAAAAAAAAGACTAATGATGTCAGCGATACTATAAAAGGAGAGATTAGAAATGTACTGTATAGCGTGAAAGCAAAAGGAGAGCACGTTACAATTAAAGTTCTAAATACACAATTAAGAAACAAGCATCTTTATGACGGTTCTGATACAAGTTTGTGGCGTCTTATGAAAAATTGTGGGTTTTCATACAAAATAGAAAATAGTAGACGAGTGCTATGTTAGAAACCATTAATTGTCTCCAAACGACTGTATTTTTTGAGGCATTATATGAGAAATTTTTTAAGTCCAAGCCCACTTCAGTTCGTTTTTTAGATGAAACATGGATATTCCTAAAAGGGGCATATATACGTATTTGGCAAGATGACTGTGGGAAAAGCATCAGAAAAGGACACGAAAATACAGGTAAACGCTTTGTTGTTTTACATACCAGAAGTAGGCAAGGATTTGTTAAAGATGCTGGATTACTGTTTTCTACGAAATCGAAGAGTGCAGACTATCATGATTCTATGGATAAAGAGTCTTTTAAAAAGTGGGTCTCCGAAAAGCTAATACCAATATTGGAGGAACCATCTCTAATTATTATGGATAATGCCTCATACCATAGCTCTTTAATAGAAAAGTTACCGAATGCCAGTTGGAAAAAATCGGACTTACTAGAATGGTTACGAGCGAAAAAAATAATTTTTGACGATTCGGGCAAGACAGAGCTATTGAGTCTTTGTCGCCAGAATAAACCACAAAATAGCAGGTACGTTATAGACGAGCTACTCCAAGAACTTGGGCATCAGGTTTTGAGATTGCCTCCATATCACTGTCAGTATAATCCGATTGAGTTGGTCTGGGGCATTTCTAAACAATACTATGATCGTCATATTGGAGAACATGGACGTGGAGATGAAACAGTGAAAAAAGTTTTGGGGCGATGCATTAGCTGAGGCAACACCTGCAGTGTGGGCGAGTTGTGTTAACCATACTGAAAAATTAATTCAGGACGACTGGGCAAAAATGGTCACATATGATGAAAATGAAAGTAGGATTATCATCGATTTGGCGGAAGATACCAATGATGAAGACAGTTCCAGTGAAGACGCTGACTGATTAGCTAATTAATCAAGGTCAGTACGTTGTATCAGTTCAGAATTCGCTACAGTACTTAAAACTTAAAAAATCTGTATCATTTTTTAATTAAAGTGGATTAAATAATTAACACTTTTTTGGGTATATTTCAAAATCCTTTTAAAATGTACTTTTCGTTATATCCTGTCCTATTGTACTGCAAGCTAGAAAAATACTTCGCAATTTATACATATATTCCGTTATTAGAAATTTAATGAAAAATAATTTATAATTTTCTTTTATAACTATTATTTCGTTTGACATGCTACATTTTGCTCCGCCACTGGAGGAGGTACACGAATCGAGCTTAGACAAGGAAAGACAGATGAAACAACTTATTGCAAGTGTTTTTACACCCACACGCCAAAAACGATGAAAACGATTATATTATTGTTTCATTTAAATAATTTTAGACCGAATTGTAACATAATAAAAGATATGTTAGTACTCACCATTTTTCGGGACAGCTTTATCAAGTCCGGCCATGGTTTGAATATAATAATTTTGCTCCAATTCTTGATCCCAAACTTTCTGAAAAAAAAAATTATATTTTAGTACTAAGTATATTTTATATAAATTAAATATAAGATCAGCTTAGCGCTAAGTCACATACTCTTAGCTGAGTCACTGGAGTACACAGCGAATTGAAGGGGCAGGAACGGAAAGTGAATTCCGAACTTTGATAGTTGGTAGCGGCCATATTGTTGTATCTGTCATATTGACTATTCGCCGGGCCAGAACGTAAGTCTCATACTATATATCCAGTAAGATCGATTACTATATACCAAGGAAAATGTTATCAGACCTTATTCAACTATATGAATCGACTGGAAGAACACTATGGAGATACCCATCTAGAACAAATATACAAAGCCCAATTGGAAAGTAGCATCCAGTATATCAGCCAAAACTTGCAGGAATATGAAGCAGATGTTACTCGTATGGTTTAGCTAGCTTACCCAGAAGACTCTGATGATATTTTGGAAGACATAGAGGTAGATCCGTTCGTTAATGGTTAGAGAGAGTAAGAGAGATATAGAGGGACAGAGAGAAAGAGGGAAAGAGATAAATAGTGATTTATAAAAAGCTTCACGATTAGCAAGATAAAACGATTAGAAACAGACAAACAGAACGATGATCGTTTGAAAGAAATGGCTAGAAAAATAATCCGTAATACCATGCTGAAGAAGCGTGAGCAAAGATCTTAGCGAAGTAGTTTACTTTCGTCGAACTAACAAGAAACAAATGCATCAGTTGGTAATATAGAATAATTACCAGAATATGATTATGGCATCGGACACAGGGCGGGAAAAAACCATTAAAATGTCGATGTCTTCTCAAGAAAATCATTCAGTGTGAATTGTAGCCACTATTTAAAATTAGGGGATCGACTTTGCCAAATGCGACGAACGAATAACACAAATGATCAACGGAAACTTCAGCAGCTACAAAATGTCCAAGACCATGTTTGACATTTCTTAAATTGGAAACGTGAAGATGAAAGACCAAAATGACAAGATATGTCAGTATAAGTGCATGTAGGTCAGAAGAAAAAGCCCATTGGAGCCAATAGAATTGCATGACACTTTGACATTTTATTAGTATAGTTCGTGTAAAGGTTACTGTTACGTCTCAATATTTTGATAGTAATATATACTTCTGACTCCATTAGGGGCTCCACGTTCTTTTAAACGTAGGCTGGGGCGATAAAGTTGGTTTTTCTGAAGATATAAGCAACCATTTACTTCGAAATGGTCGTTCACGAATAATTTTTGGATGCGATTCTTTATACGAATGGATACGAAACGTTGTTCATGAGCGGTTGTTCAATTAAGTGGTGACCCAAGAGAGCAAAGGTGAGCATGTTGCCTATTATGAATGCAATCTATTGCAACTAATGACCTAGCGCATCCCAACCTCACGGCAACCGTATGATAAACCCGTAAAACTTTATCAAACAAAAGTTTTATCGAAATCTTGAATGTAATTATTTTCTTTTCTGGGAATCTTCAAAATTATAATAAATTTTGTAAGATTTATTTGTATTAACGCTTACCGTGATTGAGGTTATAAAAACGTTTTTACCAGCAAAGAAAGACTATTACAAGTGTGTTTTTTATTTTATGGAATACGTTGAAAACGTTTCATTGTTTTATTTTGCATACAATATCAAGGCACAATTGAATATTCATTAAAATGTTTGTTACTGTATACAAAAACAATCCACCAATTGTTTAGTATTGTTGGACACACAATAAATACAGTTATATTTTCATAAGCCAATATAAGTTGGTATATTTATATCAAAACAACATTGAACTTGAAAAGTATATATTTTATGCAATTAGTGTACAAAATTGCAAATTTACTCACATGAAACATGACTTTTGAGCTACGCGAATCTCTCTTGAGTTGAATTTTGGGTTCAGATCATATAACTTTTCCATCAGTGTCAGACAATACCTACTGCTATTGTATTTATCTACAGCTTCTGCCCGAAGAAGGTATGCATAAATCTACGCGCTGATGACTAGTCGAAGAGTCCTTCCCGGGAAGCGTGTACGAGGTCTCTCAGGAGGATCTCGGGTTTATTGAAGAATGTTGCCTGGAGCGGTCACTTGGGGTTAGACCTTACAAGACTGCCGTGGCCCCGTTTACATGAATAAGGGGCATCAAATCAACCAGGGAGCCTCTCTTTTATGGTAAAGCTTGTACCTAAGAGTGATGATCGATTCTAAACTGTCATGGAAGGGACTTCTTCTTCTTCTAGTTCCATGACCGTTATCGATCGTTGGATATCATGTTGGATACCATATTCGCTATCGTGACTTTATTGACAGCAGCTCTAAATAACGATGTAGTTGATTTTCCATACCATTACCTTAGATTTTTCAGCTATGGAAGGGACATCTGAACGAAAAAGTAAAGAAGGTCGCTGCAGCTTTATGGGCATGCAGAAGAGCTGTTGGACCCCAAATGGGGTCTACAGACAAAAATCCTACGTTAGATATATCAATCCATGTTAAAGTGTGTACTAACGTATGCGGCCAGTGTTTGATGGACCCGGGTTAGACTGGCTTTAGCCAAGGCTCAGTTGGCTCACCTTCAGCTGTTGGCATGGGTTGGCATTTCAGGAGCCATGAAGACTGCTCTCTTGGGGCCCTATTGGATTTACCTCCTCTATATCTTATTGTACAGCCCGAATCCATAATGACAGTCTATCAACCCTGGTCGAATAGGCCATTGTGGCACATGGAGACAGGCCATCGAATGTTGTCTTGTGCTTTCTATGATACAGGACAGCATGGCCCCAAAATTTGAGTTCTCATCCTCCTTATTGGGTTAATGACCTGACCGGGATGAGTGGGCGAAACGAGAACTGGCACTGATAAGTCGGAGCGGCCTCACCTGGTTCACAGATGGATCCAGAATTGACGAGCGGGCACGCGCTGGAATATATGGTAGTGGGATCGGTTTTGAATCTAGTCACGCTCTCGTTTTTCGTGCAAAACACCACACGCATACAAAAATGAAAGTCTTCACCCCCACAGATCATTGAGGACTTTATTTAGAAAGAACTGTGATCCATCTTCACGACGACAACATTCCCGAGAGATATGGACCACAATACATCTTCTTATACTTCTTCTTTTTATGTAGACATGACTGTCTGTTTTTCAATGTACCTCCAGTAAGTTGTCGTTCCATCGTTTTTGTGATCTTCCTACTGATCGTCTTCCTATTGGGGAACCGTCTCTTTTCGTCTTTACTATTCTATTTGTTGTCATTCTGCTTATATGATCGTTTTAATCTAGTCTTCTATTTATTACCCAGTCTTTGATGTTCTTCACCTTGCATCTACATCGTGTATATCTATTTTTAGCTCTGTCCCATAGTGTCTTACCATCATTTTTTTTTAAGTGTTCTCATCTCTGATGTTTCTAACTTCCTTTTTGTCTTTTCTATACCAGGTCGTGTTTCTGCCGTGTATGTCATTATTGGTTTGATGACTGTTTTGTAAATTCTGCCTTTCATTTCTTTCCCGATATTTTTATTTCTCCATATTGTTTTATTCAGGCAACCTGCTGCTCTGTTTGCTGTATTCACTTGATGTTCTAGTTTAGTTTCGAGCTTTCCGTAGCTAGATGATGTGATGCCTAGATATTTAAACTCAATCACTTGTTCTATTATCTGAACTTACAGCTCCAATTTACATCTTAGTAAATTTGCTGTTATAAGCATGCATTTTGTTATTTTTGGGGAAATTAACATGTTAAATTTTCTGGTGGTAATATTGAATTTGTGTACCATACGTTGTAAATCATCTTCCCTTTGAGAGTAGTATTGTGCGTTTGTATGGCAGATTATTTTTTACTCGCATTTCATATTCTGTTTTAGTTCTTACTTTTTTATTATTTCATCCATAATCAACAGAATACATAGAGGAAAATATACATACTCAGATTTAAATACAATAATTTTGAAGTGAATACTTCTAATCGCACGGTATGATGTTATTGCACGGGCCAGACATCATATTTAGCGTGACACGAAAAATCGAGACGCGCGCAGTAAACTTGAGGTATACAGTAATATATAATATGCATACATATACACTTATTATAAAAATGAACAAACGTCATTTTATTTATTACTTTTTTATAACACTCGCGAACGATAGATCAAATAATTGTTTTTAAAATATTTGTATAAAATAAAATAAATTAAGATAAACTAAAATTAAATAAAATTCCATAAAATTAAATCATATTAAATAAAATTTAATGAAAACATTTAAGTAAAACTAAATTAATTAAATAAAATTATCTAAAATTAAATAAAATTTAATAAAATTAATTAAATTAAAAACCATTGCTCCTTGCGTAGACGATAGGAAAGCTATGCTTCACCCCTCAGTCACTCCCAGAGTGCCACATGCCGATTTTTTTACAATTTTTACAATTTTTAAAACAAAATTTTTAAAGAAAAAAATTTTAAAAAACTTAATTAATAACACCAGTAAAATTAATTTTAGTGGTGTTATTATAAAAATATTAACAATTCAGTACTAAGCAGATAATTATCCACATATTTATAGTATTAACACGCTATAAGAAGTATTCACTTCTATCTGTACTCCCCAAATGCCACGCGCCGTTTTTTATCACTAAAATATTTTTTACTAACTATTTATAGAATAAAAATAAAACTAAAAAAAATAAATGGTGTACCTGTGTAGGGCCTTGAATTCACGATTTTTATGTAACAAGATCAGAATGTTAACATTACATCCACAATAAGTGTTTGCATTGTTGTTTCATATACTTCAAATAATTCAAATTACAAATAATTCAAACCCTATTACTTTTTTTCCGTGGAATTTATGGCTTTGGCGAGAACCAATTAGCCAGACTATGTTACATTGAATCATTAGTTTGTGTAAAATTGTGTGAATTAAGTTTCATAGTATCAAACCTGAGCATGTTGTATTCATTTGTTTTGTTAGTAATATACAAAATAAGTAAGGTGTT